TCATCAGATATTGTCCAAGATTAACCTTCAGGGTGGATATAGCTCGCTAGCAGCCTCGCACCGATGACCTATTCACGTTATCATTTACCCAGAATGCTTTGTGGGTAAATAAAATGGCCCCAACTGTGTAATATATTTTTAAACTTTTAGATGAAAAATTATAAAAACTGAACATCCTACAGTATTTTTACAGTCTTTATTTTACAGTTAAAATATATGTTTATTAAATAAAGTCTAATGTTACAACTAATCAAGGATCCCTTTAGGATTTTCTGTTAAATTTGTTTGATAATTATTCAACCCCCACTGCTCAGACAGAGGAGGAGAAGAGTCACCTTAAGTCTGGATAATTAAAGGCACTTTCAACAAGTCTGAACGTCACAATAAAGAGCTTCAGATGTTGCATTAGCCTCCATTAGCCTACTGTATCAGCTCAGACCACAATGCATTGTGGTTTACTTCCTCTAATGAGTCTTCACTTTCTGCACAGTACCTTTACTGCAGCGTGTGACGAGTTTTTAGGACACTTCGGTGAACGAGTGGACAATTCGAACACAGACTGAGAGGAAAAACTTAGCAGATTGGGGGGGGGGGGGGGGTGAAGATGTGCTTCACAAGATTCAAATCTTACTTGTATGACTCCGACGACGTATGTGAGACTGCCCTCCAGGAAATGTCCGTCGATGAACACTCCAAAGGAAAAGCAGGCGCCACTGTGGCCATCTATCAGCTCTCCTATAAACCACGGGCCTGAAGGAACACACGATACCAGCACAGAGTGGTTACAATGTGGCAGAGCCAAGGAAGGGTTCTCTTGAAAAAAAAAAAATTATTAACTCACAAACTGCACAAGGTTCCAACTTTAATATGTATATTCTGATATTAGCTGTGTATTTGTGGCTACAAAACTGTAAAGAGCAAAAGGAGAACTAAACAAAAGGACAGAGGTTAACTCACCGAGGGCCGTGCAGAGGTTGAACAGCAGCAGAGAGTAGTAGAAGGAGTTTGTTTTACTTATAATGTGAAGCGAGAAACACACTGAAGAGGTGAGTCCTGTGAAACCTAAAGATGGAAGGAGAAGAAAACATTCCTGAAGCTACGATCCAATATTCACCTCCATTCATCACGACAGTGGACATCACAGCAATTTGGAGCTTTTATTGCTTTGTGTGAACTGTTCTTGTTCACAGGTGGAATGATTGCGCAACATACAACAATCAGGGATGTTTAAAAATACAGTGAGTTTGAATTTACTGTGGCTTTTCTCTGGTCCACATCAGGTCAACATTATACAGAGGCTCAAATGTATTCATACACCTCCACTAATGTTAGTTAAATACAGTCTATATTTAGCACAAAAAGTAAGGATGGGTGTGTTTGTGTGTTGTAACAACTCTTCTTTGCAGTAATCTTCTACCGGTGGAAAGGCTGTTAATTTCCCTTTTAAATGGTGCCACATTTGTAAGGAACATGCGTTTGTAGGATGGGCAGTAGAGCTGAGTGTGTGGGTTGCACACATGAAAATTTAACCAAATCTTTTCTGCCAAACAGTTTAGTTTGCTGTTGCTATCGACACTTGTTCTGAGCTTCTGGTTCTCCAATCAAGCAAATTGTCATAACAAAGAAATAATCTACCAACAGCAGATTTCCTCATTTTTGTGCTAAGTTTATAGGAACAGGTTGCAACTTGACCACAGGATATTTTTTATCCATCAATAAGCTTCTGGTTAGATATTTGGTGGAGGCAAATTGGACTTATGTACCACTGTTTGACCTCATGAACTTAGAATCTGAATTCATTTAGAAATGGCTCCAAAATACCTTTTCAACCCATGTAAATTTACAATACTTTCCCCCAAAGTAGTAAATATTCATTTAAGTGCTGTCAAACAAAGCCTTTTGATCCAATCATGATCACTAATGAAAAGTTACCAGGTCTTAGCATTAAGACCTTCAGCACATCTTTTTAAAATGTTTTGATGAATGTGTGGATACATTCGACACGGCGTGAATCAGAGAAAATCCTAAATAAATTACCAACTTTTAAAAAATCATAGATTGTACGATGTACAATCATTTCACTCTTAAAAAGCAGTTCAAATAGTCCCCAAGGAGGCTCTATAGAACAGCTGGAGTGCGCAGAAACCACGTGACCGTGTGATCGGCTGGTGAAGCTAACGGCTAACGCTAAACGGGCAACTGTCTGGATTTCCCATTGCTGTACATGTTGACAACAGAGCAGAAAAAAGGACTGACGATGTAGAAATCATTAAAACTATTAATAATAATATTAACCCAATTATTATTAATATTTTACAGTTTATATAATCTATCTAATGTTTTAAATAATGCCAGAAAAGCTGTTTGTGTTATGGATTTATTAACAGAAGATAAACAGAAAACGTCTCATTTCACAACACAAGTCATCAGATTTGATCTTATTTAGCTCAATGTGATCTGAGCAGAACATAATGTAACAGTTTAAAATTAAAATAATCTTATAAAGTTGATGTAATCACTGTTATTTATTGAACTGATTAGCAGATATTAGCTTGTGGAGCGCATATACAGTACACAGAGTTTAGCACTGTTGAATCATGCAACAATTTAACACAAACTATTAAATATTACAGCTGATTTGTCCTCTGATTAATATTTAGACCTACAGAGTGTAAAATAATATCATAAATGTGAGTATTTTTAGGTTTCTGTCAGAGGAATCATTTTTCAACTTGCTAAAGTCTGAGTTACAGGCTGACTTCAGGTCTGGTTTAGATCATTGTTACTTATAAATTATATATTTTTCTGGTATAAATCTGCTGTTTTACATGATTGTTGAATGAAATTAAGATAATTATTATTTTATTGTAAAAACATGACAGATAATCAGTGAAACTGATCCAGTTCAGCTTGCTATTTATCTATTAGTTTCTATGGAGGCTGTGAGCTGTTGCCCTGTTTGGTCTCTGTTTCTGCTCCTCCATGCTGTCACAGACGTTAACAGTGGATAGTATGGGCGGGACTCAGTCTAGTGATCTATATATTTAAGTCTATAATAGTCCCCAATAGTTCCAAAATATGATGACTTTACACCATTAAAGAGTGGATGTAAACTTCTGAACACGTGCCACAGCTTCAGGTTTATGGCGATCATCTTAACATGAAATGTATCATCAGAAAAAACTCACCTTTGCCATTAGGGAGCTGATGGAATCTGAAAGCAAGGAGCACGATGACATTCAACAGCATCGTGAATATGAAGAGGACTCGACCCAGGATGTAGTGGTCTGTGAGGAGGATGAAGGACTGCACGAAACTAAAGCTGGGAGTCAGACCGTCCTCCAGAGTGAAGTGCTGCTCTTTCACCACCGAGCGGCCTGCGGAGTCCTGATCCACGAGTTCCACGAAGAAAAAAGCATGTCAGTGTAAATGCTAGACAAGAACAGTTATAAGAAACTCTCTCAACCCTTTCGGTCTGTAAGCTGATGACACGTGAGTGCGGCACTCACCTCCACTTTAACTTTGATTACGTGCAGCCCAGTGAGGTAAAGAGACGGATCCCACAGCAGAACATAAAGTGGGCCTCCAGCAGAGTGGCCTTTCCCCAGAGCTTCTCCATCGACACTAACGTGCACTGCAGTGATCATAGCCTCAGAGAAGGCCAAGACCCTTCAGAAGGTAAAAAAATGTCAGAAGTTTAAAAAAAAAGACAGAAATACTGTCCGTCCGTTTTCTGCCGCTTATCTGGGGTCGGGTTGCAGTGTCAGCAGCCTAAGCAGAGAGACCCAGACTTCCCTCTCCCCAGCCACTTGGGCCAGCTTCTCCGGGGGAATCCCAGGGCGTTCCCAGGCCAGCCAAGAAACATAGTCCTTTCAGCGTGCCCTGGGTCTTCCTCCGGGCCTCCTCCCAGTGGGACGTGCCTGGAACACCTCACCAGGGAGGTGTCCAGGAGGTATCCTAACCAGAAGCCTGAGCCACCTCAACTGGCTCCTCTCGACGTGGAGGAGCAGCGGCTCTACTCAGAGTCCCTCCCAGATGACTGAGCTTCTTACCCTATCTCTAAGGGACAGCCCAGCCACCCTGCAAAGGAAACTCATTTCGGCCGCTTGTATCAGCGATCTCGTTCTTTCAGTCACTACCCAAAGTTCGTGACCATAGATGAGGGTAGGAACGTAGACCGACCAGTTAACCGAGAACTTCGCCTTCTAGCTCAGCTCCCGCTTCACCACGACAGACCGGTACAGCAGCCGCATCACTGCAGACACAGCACCAATCCACCTGTCGATCTCCCACTCCATTCTTCCCTCATTCATGAACAAGACCCTGAGATACTTGAACTCCTCCACTTGGGGCAGGACCTCCTCCCCGACCAGGAGACAGCACGCTACCAGTTTCTGGCTCAAGACCATGGTCTCGGATTTGGAGGCACTGATCCTCATACCGGCCACTTCACAGTCAGCTGCGAACCGCTCCAGTGAGAGCTGGAGATCATGATCTGACGAATCCAATAGGACCATATCATCCGCAAAAAGCAGAGATGTGATCCTAAGGTCACAAAAAAGGATCCCCTCAACACCTTGGTTGCGCCTAGAAATTCTTTCCATAAAAGTTATGAACAGAATCAGTGACAAAGAACAACCTTGGCGGAGTCCAACCCTCACTGGAAACGAGTCCAACTTACTACCGGCAATGCGGACCAAGCACTGGCACCGGTCATTCAGGGACCTAACAGCTCGTATCAATGGGCATGGTACCCCATACTCCCCGAGTACCCCCCACAGGAGTCCCCGAGGGACTCGGTCGAACGCCTGCTCCAACTACACAAAACACATACAGACTGGTTGGGTGAACTCCCATGCACCCTCCAGGACCCTGCTGAGAGTGTAGAGCTGGTCCGCTGTTCCACGACCAGGACGAGAATCACACTGCTCTTCCTGAATCCGAGATTCGACTATCCGATGGACCCTCCTCTCAGGAAACCCCCGAATAGACCTTACCAGGGAGGCTCAGAAGTGTGATCCCCCTATAGTTGGAACACATTCTGCGGTCCCCCTTTTTAAATAGGGGGACCACCACCCCGGTCTGCCAATCCAGGGAAACTGCCCCCGATGTCCACACGATATTGCAGAGTCGCGTCAACCAATGCAACCCCACAACATCCAGAGCCTTAAGGAACTCCAGGCGAATCTCATCCACCCCCGGCACCTTGCCACCAAGGAGCTTTTTAACCACCTCGGTGATCTCAGCACCAGAGATTGGAGAGTCCAACTCAGGGTCCTCAGGCTCTGCTTCCTCATGGGAAGACATGTCAGTAGGATTGAGGAGGTCTTCAAAATATTCCGCCCATCGACCCACAAAGTCCCAAGTTGAGGTCAGCAGCGCACCATCCCCACCATAAATAGTGTTGGTGGCGAACCGCTTTCCCCCCCTGAGACGCCGGATGGTGGGCCAGAATCGCCCCGAAGCCATACGGAAGTCTTTTTCCATGGCCTCTTCGAACTCTTCCCACGCCCGAGTTTTTGCCTCAGCGACCACCCGAGGCACAATCTGCTTGGACTGCCGATACCTATCGGCTGCTTCCGAAGTCCCACAGGCCACAAAACTCGATAGGACTCCTTCTTCAACCTGACAGCATCCCTCACCGCCGGTGTCCACCAGCGGGTTCGAGGGTTGCCGCCACGACAGGCACCGACAATCTTACGGCCACAGCTCAGGTAAGCCGCCTCAACAATGGAGGCACGGAACATGGCCCACTTGGACTCAGTGTCCCCCACCTTCCCAGGAACGTGTTCGAAGTTCCCCCGGAGGTGTGAGTTGAAGCTCCATCTGACGGGAGACTCTGACAGACGTTCCCAGCAGACCCTCACTATACATTTGGGTCTGTCAGGTCTGACCAGTATCCTCCCCCCGCCAACGGAGCCAACTCACCACCATGTAGTGGTCAGTTGACAGCGCCGCCCCTCTCTTCACCCGAGTGTCCAAAACATGCGGCCACAGATCAGATGAAACGACAACAAAGTCAATCATCAAACTGCCGCCTAGGGTGACCTGGTGCCAAGAGCACATTTGGACACCCTTTTGCTTGAACATGGTGTTCGTTATGCACAATCCATGAAGAGCACAGAAGTCCAATAACAAAACACCGCTCGGGTTCAGGTCGGGGGGGCCGTTCCTCCCAACCACGCCTCTCCAGTTCTCACTGCCATTACCCACGTAAGCGTTGAATTCCCCCAGCAGAACAAGGGAGTCCCTGTTTGGAGCGCTCTCCAGCACCCCCTCCAAGGATTCCAGAAACATTGAAATACTGTATGTCTGAAAATATCCAACTTGTGTTTACATTTGCACCAAAACACACATCGAATAAAAAAGTGTTAAAATAGCATTTTGAACAAAAAAAAACTGAATGAACACCTGATGTGAGTTGACTGCCGCATCCGCCCCAGCGGCTCCACCCCTGGGTGGAAGTATTGTGCATCCTTTGGGTTCGTGATGAGCACTGAAGGCCACTGCTCAAACTGCAGGTCAGAGAAACTCAGCAGGTCGTGGTCAAAGGCCAGGACTCTGAACCTGCCCGAAGACATAAGAAGAACTCACTCAGCAACAACAAAAGGGTGGAAGATACTGTCAGCTGATCTCACACACCTTCGGTTGTCCATCCAGTCACCCAGCTCCAGCTCCAGGGTGCCTCGTGGATGTCGGCTGTGGAGGACCGGCATCAGGCCGCCGAGTGTGTGCAGGTGGCCACACAGATACGCAACAGCAGAGCTTCAAAAGAAAACGTCTGTTTTATTGTTGAAACAAGAAGACAAAAAAGAAAACAGCAAACCCGACTGGGCTGAACTGTTCACTCCCAATGAATTCTGTTCTTTGTAGAACCATGTTCTGCAGCAGTTACAGGACCAAGTGTCTTCAGGTTTGTCTCCATGATCTCGGCCCATCGAACTACAGAAATATTTGTCCGTTCTTCATGACCAACTTGCTCCAGCTCCTTCAGGCTGGTGCTGCTTGTGCCCAACAATCTTTAGCTTTAAAAACCAGAGATCCTCAGATGGACTGAGGTCTGGGTTTCAACTGGACCAATCTACAAAACCTAACTGGTTCTGCTTTACCCTGCTGCTGCCCTCGGATCAAACCATCCCTCGAGGTCTCAGTTTTAAACTGAACCCAAAATCTTGTCATTTTATAGATGAAAGCAGAAAAGAGTGGCTTTTCTGATGGTGAAGCAAAATGTCAAACTGAAGGACATTTTGCAACTAACTGAATTTTAGATATACTCTTATATTTCATACTTTGTGATGGATTGTAATCATTTACTTCAAACAGCTGATCTACAAGTCTCTATTCAACATGTGCCTCACCACTCACTCTGTAAAAACACATAATGTTTGACATTTTAAAATTTCTTTACGCCCTTGTTTATCGTGACATTATTTTCAGACATGACTCTGGTGTGAAGCTGTGGGTTACGGAGTGGACCAGGTCTGAGTTATGTGTGCTAAACTTTGCACTTCTATAAATAAATAAGTCTGAGAAGTGAGTCTATCGCCTGCTGTGCATCATTTATTCTCACATTTGAACACCATCGTTCAAAGCTTAAGGCCCTGTCACACTATCATGTTCTAAATAATGTATGCCAACTTAAAGGTTTGGAGACATCTTTATTGAAGATGGAATTTAAAAAATCAACTAGAAGCCTCTTTTGCATGTACATACTGAAATGCTAAGAAACTGATCAAATACCTAACTTTTATTAGAAATTTAGTGGATTTTTTTTTCATAAGTTGGTATAAGTTGTTTAAAACATCATAGTGTGACAAGGCATTTACGTGTTTTTTTTTAATATTTCAGCTTGATGTGTATACGTAGATGTAGATGTAGATGTATATGTTTTAATCACATCAACTGACGCACTTCCAATGACCTCCTACTGTTCCCACCGTGTTTTATGCTTTAAACACTGCAAAAAATGTCCACCTATCCAAGTTTTAAAATCTTATATCCAGCCAAAATGTCTTTTTGATCTTGTTTTGTGACTGATTTACTAAACAAGAACTGATTATGTAAGAATAATAACCTTGTTTTCAGAATGTGTAAGATTATTTGTCTTGTTGAGTCTGAAAATTTGACTCAAATTAAGTCAAAATTTTCTGCCAGTGGAGTAAGAAAATTTTACTTGGTAAGATTCTTGAAATACTTGATTTGAGTCCATTTTTTTTTTTTCATTTCAAGAATCTTACCAAGTAAAATTTTCTTACTCCACTGGCAGAAAATTTTTGACTTAATTTGAGTCAAATTTTCAGACAAGACAAATAATCTTACACATTCTAAAAATAAGATTATTCTTACACAATCAGTTCTTGTTTAGTAAATCAGTCTCACAACAAGATCAAAAAGACTTTTTGGCTGATACAAGATTTTAAAACTTGGTAAGATGGACAGTTTTTGCAGTGAACCAGTGCAGTGTTGCTCTAATTTTGTGTTTAAGGTCATTGTCCTGCTGAAAGATGAACCTCCGTCCCAGACTCACATCTCTGGAAAACTCCAATTTCTCTTCAGACATTTCTCTGTGCTTTGCTCCATCCTTTTTTGTCCCAATCCACATCATGATGCTGCCACCACCATGCTTATCTGGGGGAGTATCGTGTCCAACAAGAAGGTAAGATTGAACCAGACATGATGTTGTCCTTAACGGCCAAAAACTTCCGTTTTTAGATTTGTCTGACCAAAGCACCTTCTTACACATTTCTTATCCATTTCATTGTGTGAATGCTGTGAAGCATTCACACATATGAGATAATTTTTTCTTCCGTACGGTTTTCGGCATCTAACTCGTTCCACAATTTTTGTGCTATTTCAACAATTCATATATTAAAACGTTCAACTCATTCATGTGAGGGGAGCTATGACTTTTGGTATTTCAGCTATTTATATATTTTTTTAGCTATTTCACTTTTTTAGTCACTTTTTTGCCATTAAAAATGAATGGAGCTGTTTTCAACATCCTTAAACTCCTTTAAAATGTTTCTAAATCTTTACAGCACCTTACACATTTTTTTCTGGTTATGCTCCTTTTCACTTTCTTGTGCTAATTTTAGCTACTTTTTTATTTTTACTAATTTTAGCTTTTTTCTGCTATTTCAGCTAAAATTCTGCTTTATTCCACTTTCTTCTGCTTTTTTCTACTTTTATGTGCTTTTTGCTGCTACTTTGTGCTATTTAGGCTTCTTAAAGATGCTTTCTGCTATATTCAGCTATTTGCTGAAATTTTGGCTAATGTTTAGCTCCTATTAGCTAATGCTGGCTTTTCTAAGGTAAATACACAATTTTTTGTAGCTATTACAAATTGTTTTGACTGAGTTCAGCAAACTCCTTATGCTTTCTTATGCTAATTAAAACATTTCCAGCTACTTTTTAGCTGTTTTACTGACAATTTTGGCTGTTTTATCACTTCTATGTAATCTTAAGATCTTTTTCTGTTTTTTTTTTCTCTTTTAGCTATTTTTCAACTATAAGTATTTAAACTGGGTGCTAATTTCAAATTGTGGCTACTACATTTAGCTTATTTTATGCTAATTTTACCTATTATATGCTACTTTAGCTATAGATCTGCTTCTTTCTGCTGTTCTGCCTTTTTCTACTTTTTATGATACCCAGTGCTATTTATGCTTCTTACAGATGTTTTCAGCTATTTTAGCTCTTAGCTTTAAGCTGTTTTCTGGTTTCAACTAGATTTGTTCTCTTTTTTACTGTTTTTCTGCAAAGTTAGGCTTGTTTGCTTCTTTCAGCTTTTCAAAGTGAGCTCACATTAACAATTTTCCTATTAAATATTTTCAGCTCAATTTCAGCAGCTTTCAGCTCAAGTGTTCAGCATGAAACATTCACACTAGTATTTTCACAGGAAATGCAATTTCTCTAGTTAATTTTGCTTTAAGCATTTTTTTTCTCTGACACCACATGAAGCTGAGCTCTGTGCAGCTCCCATCTCTGCAGAAGAGCTGCAGCTCTATCACAGTTATTTTTAGCTCCGTGAGTTTTGGTGGACAATTCTCTCTTGGCAGGTTTTGCTGTGGTAGCATCCTTTTTCCATTTCCTAATAATACATTTAAAGGTGCTCTGTGGGATGTTGAGGGTTTGGTATGTTTCTTTATACTCCAACCCTGATCTGTACTTCTCCAACACTTTGTCTATGACTTATGTGGAGAGTCTTCACGGTCTCCTTTGCTTGGCGGTAGTTCTTACTTCTTTGAAGTGTTTCACTTTCCTGATCAGAACAAAGGTATTTATTCTCAGATCATTGGCAATTTGTAGATTTTATTTAACAAATTATAAGGCTTCTGAAGTATTGTGGAGGTCCATTACTCAAAATCCCACTGAAAACCAAAAAAATTTGAATTCTAAGACAAGAAAGCAGAAAGAAACCCATTGGTGAATGGTTTTGCAGCTGACTGGACAAACTGGGTGTGTACATCATGACTGGTTATTGATGATCTGCATTCCATTAACCAGTCTCTTTGAAAACTGGTTTAAAGTTCAAGCACTATCTTACCTCATCATGTCTCTAACTCCAGGAGAGGGGGAGACAATGGTGGAGGTGGTGTAGTGACCAAACCAGACGGACTGGTTGCTCTTCAGACTCTCAGCTCTGAACGAGTCCAGCAAGTCCATCTGAGTCTAACGTACAACACCAACAAACACACAACAAAAACACGAGGCATGGATTACGCTTCATGGGTACTTTATAGTCATTTCTTCAGAGAGAGAAAAAAAATAAAGAAAAAACAAATTTACAGCATCATTACAGCATCACATTTCTTTTGATGTAAAAATCAAAGGGCAGTCTGAAGTCAGAACATGTGAAAGTCATAAATTTAGCTTTTTTTCCAAATAAAGGAACAATTTTAACTTCAACAATTAAAGCTCTAGTGACTGAAAAGTATTCTGCAGGCACTCTATTACCTCACAGAGAGAGAGAGACAGTCTGTACTGTATGATTACATTGGCTAGATTTCTTTTTCCACTCATGATTTGACAAAATTAAAACACAGAAAATGAGAAAGAAGCTTGTGGATACTATAAGCGAGGTGAGGGCAGTTTTCGAAAACGTTCACTCCAAAACCGAATGTGTTTCGAAAAGTCAAAACAACAAGATCTTCAAATAAAATCACAAAGAAAACGTGCCAGACAGATTTACCTGATTGAGAATGCCAAAAAAATTATATGGTCTTTTGGGGCCCGGGGTCAGCGTGGCATCCACACAGACGAAGGAGTAGTTGCCAAACGGGGTTTTGTGAACGTAGTGGAAAGAACCTATTTTCTGATTAGCTGAGTATTTTCTAGAAAACAAAAGAAAAACAGCAATGAGAAAAAATCTTTGTGAGCAACAGGATACAGAACATCTGTCTTGTCTGGAGCCAGCAGCAGGAATTTAATATATTTTTAAATAAATAAATAAATTAGCCTTGCATTAGGGATGGACTTTGTAATACAGAGGAAGATCACAGCACCCACCACTGAGGCTGATGATACAGCAGGTAAAATAAGTATTGAACACGTCACCATTTTTCTCAGTAAATACTAGAGGTGCAAATGTCATGAAATTTTCACCAGATGTTGGTAACAACCCAAGTGATCCATACATACAAAGAAATCAAACCATAAATGTCCAGAAATGAAGTTATTTGTACTAATGAGTGCCACTAGTTTCTCCATACAGGAGGCGTCTTGAAGCTGTCATTGACAACAAAGGCTTTTGTACAAAGTATTAGAT